TGGGCAGAGATGAGGAGGGATGGATATATACAACAAAGCCAGCACCACAGAATGCTGACTTTGCCATCAAATGGATGATAGCCAATGTGTTCTTTAAACTAACTTTGCCCCTTCCTTCCTTCCTTCCTTCCTTCCTTCCTTCCTTCCTTCCTCCCTCCCTTCCTTCCTTTCTTTCTTTCTTCCTTCCTTTTTTTAAAAACAAATATTTATTTTATGTATGAGTACTTTGAAGCTGTCTTCAGATGAACCACAAGACGGCATCTGATCACTTTACAAGATGGTTGTGAGCCACCATGTGGTTGCTGGGATGGAACTCAGGACCTCTGGAAGAACAGTCTGTGTTCCTGACCTCTGAACCATTTCTCCCTCCCTCCCTTGAACCATCTCTCCCTCCCTCTCTCCATCTCCCTCCCCTTCTCTCTCCCTCTCTCCCTCCCTCTCTCCCTCCCTCCCTTCTTTCTTTCTTTCTTTCTTTCTTTCCTTCTTTCTTTCCTTTTCTTCCTACTTTGGATATAAGGTTTGATATAGCCCAGGTTAGCCTCAAACTAACTCTGTTTTAGCCTTGTCTTGTCTAACAGAATATTAGAGGAGCCATAGCATCTGGCATGAATTCTGGAGTGAAGGCACCTGGGCTTTGAAGTGGCCTTTTGTAAATAATCAGTGATTGTTAGTTGAGATTTTACAAGGTTGCTGTTCTGAAGGATTCTTAGAGCCTTTGCAGAACTTAGTCCTGAAACAGACCTAGTAAACCAGGAACTCTCTCACATATATCTGAGAATTCCTTAGGTAATGGTTCCTTCAGACAATCCCTAGATCAGATAAGAGGTTTTGGTATGTGGAAATTGCAGATGCTGTTAGTAAGTAGGACCCTTGAGAGGGAAATAGTCCCTACAGGTTAAGTGCTCATCAATGGCTTCCCTGCTCCCAACAAGGAAACTCCAGAGAACTCCTACAACCTGTTGTCAATTGAAGACAGAGAAGACAGGCATCCGTGATCTAAGGAACAAGTCTGGCCAGACATCAATCTGCAGGGTCTTGATTTTATACCTCATAGTCTGGTTTAACTCACACAGTGGTTGGCATTTTGTTATAGCAACGTTGGCTGCTCAAGACTGTCCCTTGAGGACTATCAGACCTTCCCAATGTGTGGAAGGTCAGTCAGCTTTCACTCACCTTTTCATAAGCAGGGAAGTAGCGGTTCCTTGCTTTGTCCTTGATCTTGGCAAGACTTGCTTCTTTCTCCCCAGGAGGAATGTAAGGGTGATGAAGAACAATTTCATCCAGATCTGCCACACCTTCTGTATACATGTCAATGCTGAAAAACAGACAAGCATTCTGCTAAAGCTCTCTTGCCTCACATGTTTTTGCTAAAGTATGTAAACAGTTATGATAAAAGTACTTCAACCCTGATGGTGTCATGGAGCCAGTCACAGTAATCAGATTTTAATTGTTGATTAGCAACCTTTTTAGATTTTTTAAAAAAAATGACAATATCTCTCTATGTAGCTCTGGCTGGCCTGTAATTTATTATAGTGACAGGCTGTTCTTAAACTCACAGAAGTTTGTCTGTCTTTGTCACTGAGTTCAGGGATTAAAGGCAAATGCCACCACATCCAGAAACATTCTACTTTGAATGACTTGAATGTCTGGCAAGCAGTTTTCTCTCTGCATCCAGTCTTTGGTGAACACTTGGCTGATTTTTTTACACTTTATTTTACATAAATAGCACGTCTGGATATATCACTGTACAATTATTCCTGAGCATGTATTTTCATTCCTCTTGTGTATTTATCTATTAATGAAAGTGCTGGTGACTTGATGTTTAACTTTCTGAGAAACGACTCACAGTTCCACAGAAGACTTTTGTTTGCATGGAGTGGTTGTATCACAGGAGAGAGGCGATCTGATGATTAAGGCCTGGCAGCGTCAGAAAGCCTTCATTCAGTTCCCATGAAAACCATCGTACAACCCTGGTGTCTCTGCACCAGACTCTATGAGTCACAGGCTGGCTGACTGTACATAGATTTCGATGGTAACCTAGGGTCATGGTTACCGTTATATGTCTTGTAATGGCCAGAACTAGAAGGTCAGGTCTTTGAATCCCTCTCTTTACTGTTAGTCAAAGACTTGGATTTTGTGCAAAGTTATTGGCTAGAATATCACTTCTAAAGATTAAACAAGCCGGGCAGTGGTGGGTCATGCCTTTAATCCCAGCACTTGGGAGGCAGAGACAGGCGGATTTCTGAGTACAAGGCAAGTCTGGTCTACAGAGTGAGTTCCAGGACAGCCAGAACTACACAGAGAAACCCTGTCTTGAAAAACAAAACAAAACAAAACAAAACAAAACAAAAGATTAAACAAATCTTTTGGAAACAGGACTCCAACATCTCCTATTCTACAACGACACATCTCTAACCCCTCATCTTCTTCCCTCATCTCCATGGGACTCCTCCTAACTGATGTCAGTGTATGCTCATCCAAGTACACAACCCCACTGTGTTCATGAATCCCTTGCCCTGCTTCTGCTTACTCAAGATAGGACCTAAATGATTCAGAGAAAGTCTACCATACAGGGCTCTCTCCTTCATGTCCTTCCCATAGAGGTTGTATTTGGCAGCAATGTAGTTGAGAATGGCTCTGGTCTGCACCAGCTTCATCCCGTCAATCTCCACCATGGGCACTTGCTGGAACATCAGACTCCCATCTATTGGATGAAGCAAAGAGAAAGAGAAAGTAGAATAAGTTATAAAGTCTATGGTCAGATGCACTTAAAATAACATATTTGATGAGATGACTGAAAATTTAAAAAGGAATTTCTCAGTAAAAATAGCACTTAATATTTTGTTTCCTGCATCTTTAGTGGCTTCTAAGATGTAGCCTATTATTTTACTAGTATTTTTATTTCTTACCATGAACCCTAATACTATATCTGTTTACAGGATGTGATGCTGTTACAGGATGTTTATTTCATCTTCATGTATATTTTAGGAAGAAGTTGAAGGAGGTATAATTGTACTGTCAGTGGGTTTTCTTACAATAAAAAACAAAAGACCTAAAGTTTCATGCTGTTCATGACATCAAAGTAAAGTCATGAAATAGCTTCTATGTAGGTTTCTGTGTGTTTTTCACTAACATCAAGGGGCATTGTGTGCTTTTCAACGAATACCAAGGGACATTATATGCTGGGTAAGCTCAGTGACCTTCACTCACAGGTGTTGGCCTTCTCCCTTTCTCCCCTTATCCTCTCTCATAGTCTTCCACATGACCAGTCTCATCTTTCTGTTACTCCTAGAATACAGTATTATTGAATCAGTTTGTTAAACCTGTTAGAACTCAAGGTAAGTGATTGACATATTTGCTCCTGGCATCCAGTGAGTTGTATGTGGATGAAGAGCACTGTGGGAGCCTGAGGTAAGGCAGAGAGCATGTGAAAGCAGAGATGAAACATCCATGGGGCTCTGCGGATGGTTTCTCAGCAACTATGAAGAGCTTTTCAGCTCCTTTAACTGAGAGATTTTCAGATCTGCACATAAGAAGACCCATGACTTACAATCTACCACCTTGTCCATCAGTGAACACAAGAATTAGGGAGATAATTTAATGTTTAAAGCTTCCACCAGAACCCTCCTCAGGAACATTTAGATCTGTTTCTTACCATTTCTTAACCTTGCCAGGTCATCCCGAGTTTTCAAAAATTTTTCTTCAAACTAGAAAACAGAAAGAGTAAACAAATCTTTATTAACTAATTTCACTTTTCATTTTAAAGGTCCTGTCCATCGAATATATGCAATAAGAAAGCCATTTTCTTTTAACTCGGTGTCAAGTACACAGGTGAGCTGGTTATGGGTTAAGGGAACTTATAGCAGATGTCTTATGAAAGGAGCTGTGGTCACAACTCATTGCTTCTCCTTATTGTAGTTGATGTCACCTCTCCTAGGACTGTTCCTATATCAGTGACTGTGACATGAGCTACAGGAATGCCAGTGGCAGGGAAACACAGACATTTTCTTCTCGCTATGCATTTGTAATATTTCATCCAATCCCCAAGTGTAATCAGAAGGAACAGTGTGTGTCTCCAGAATGGAACAGGGCAGGAGCCTGTGTCTAACACCCTGCCTATAGACTTCTACCGTACTTAACAACACTTATCTCCTCAGGAGCCCTGCTGTGGGTAAAGCACTTCCTTTTTCCTATGTTACTCTTGCAAGTAAAATTGACTCTCCTGGAAAATGGGGACACAATTACATAGAGTTCCTAATAAAAGAAGAAATTAATATCTCTACATTGTTTTTGCTATTAAAATCTATGAGTTCTGAGATGGCTTTGTGAGTTGGGTATGGCCTTCTGAATGTATTAGGTTCTTTACGTCGGCCATGCTACTGGGTATTCTTGTGTCTCAGTAACCTACTCCATAGCATGCATTTCCTTACAACGTCTGTTTTGGGTTGATCTCGAGACTGAATCACAAAAGCATGCAAACCACCTTTAAAACCACTATTTGTATATTAAGTACTCATCAAGCATACGGCACCGATAATATTTGTAAAAACTTTTCATTGACTCTCCATGAATGTCATATCAACTCTGATCCCACTCACTGCCCCGTCCCTCCATGTCCTCCATCCACCCTTGCAACTTTCCCCACAAAAAACAAACAAAATAAAACAAAATCTTGCTGTGGAAGCTGTGGTGTGTCACAGTGTGTCCCATAGCTTACTCAAATAGCTTTACTTGGAATCGTTCATTGTATTGGGTCATTGGTCTGGTTTGAGGCCTCTGGCTTCTGCTACACTGTCAGTACTGGATACTCACAGGGATTCCTCTCAGATATTCTGTTGTTGCTCTGTGTCATGGAGATCCTGAAGCTTTGGTTCTGCAGGACTGGCCCCTTCAGAAGCTCCAGAAGTTCATAGCTGGGATAGATGTTGGGGTTGGCCTTGTCTAAGCCCTGGATCTGGGCCTGAGTGGTGGCTGTGTTGTTCAGCCTGCCGACTTTTCTGTGCCCATGGCAACAGGGCCAGGTCTCTTGATTTACACATGCAAGAGGTGGGACCAGCTCTCCTGCTTACAGCAGACAGCACGGAGAGGGATTGGCCCTCTACTGCTCAGGCCATTGGGGCCAACTGTCCAACACACATGCCACCAGGGCCAGCTCTGTAGTTCTGCCCAGAAAGGATAGGTCCAGCTCCCACATTCATGCCCCCTTGATCTGCTCTCTCATGGTCATGCCCCCCAGAGTGAGCTTTACGATTCTGTCCCATCAAGAAGTGGGGCCTGTTCCCTAGAGTGCTGTAGTGGATGACCAAGGCCAGCTCTTACACATTACCTTGGTGGCAGAGTTGGTGGGGGCATCTCTCCCATTTGCTGCAGGCTGCAAATGGGGGACAGCTGGAACTTCTCCTGGGCCAATACAAACCAAAAGACCAACAAACAAGGGACTGGGTCAGCTCTCTGACACTCATAACCTTGGGCTGGTTTATCTGTGTTTATACCACCAGGGCTAGCTCTACAGTGTTGTCCAGGTTACGTGTGGCCCACTCTCCCAAAGGCTGTAGCCAGCAAGGGGTGGAGACATCATTAGGATTGTAAAAGATGGATGCATATACACAAAAACATATCTCTCAACTCAAAGGAGATAACAGAATTTATTTTGGATCTAAATTTGATTGGCTATGGCCCGAGAATACGAATTTAGATTAAACCAAGTTCAAATGTTTCAATATGGAATCAATTTTATGGCAGCAGAACAAAGAAGTCACATGTCAAAGGTGTTTTTAAAATACAGATGTTGAAAACAATATAGAGGTGGGTTATAGCCATGTGGTGGAATCTTAACTATAGATCTCTGTGCTATCTGATCACATCTCAACCCTTTGACTGGTGGTGAATCAGTTTTGGTGAAGTAAATACATTCCTAAACTTTTCATCTGTTTATGGGGTGTTAGGTCTGACACAGAGGTGGACAAAGAATACCTCCTTAGGGGTCTCAAGGTTGTCTATGATAGATAGTAATTAGCCTCTGAGTCTGTGACAGCCAAACTCTCCATAGTCTCCAACAGCCTCTGCAAAATTTGCTTCTTTTCAGGAATTCTTGTTCCCAGGTACCTTTTGACACTATCCCTTCTTTTTTAAAATATAGCTTAAACTATTCTCATATTGATGACAAATGTACTTTGTCCTAAAACCATATCCTATAATATAAATGTTTTCCTGAAATAAGTCACTGTGCTTGTGACGTCTGCAGGGAGCGGGGCCTTCCATCTGGTACAACTACAGTCGCCATGCATACTTCATAGAGAGAGCACAGGCGGATTGTATATAATAATACAAGTTGTTTGTAGGCAGAGCCCAAGGAGAGCCCATGGAAAGAGTCATCAAGGCATGGGACTCTTAGAGTTGACATGTTTGGTTGCACTTGTGGCCGTGTCTTGTGTTAGCTGTGAGATGGTACAGTCATTTGATGTGGGAAAGACTTCATTTCCTCATTTATAAAGTTAGAGGAAGTGTATTCTTTTTTAAAAGAATACTGGAATGTTTTCAAAACCCTCAGTACCTCACTTGCCCCACAGAAAGCAAAGACCATTATGTAATACACAGTTGTTACTTTCAGTAACTAGTTGACTTTCATAGAGTTCTTGGTTGTAAAATTCAGGACTTTGGGCTTATTTAGCATGCTCCATGGATCAGTTTCTTGAGGTACTATATGATCCCATGGTATCACACTCTAGAGACAATAAGATAATATGATAACACTTTGCCAAACATCCAGCCCAGGAAAAACATAAGGGTTAGAAAGTGGTCATCTCAGGAGGGTGGGCAAGGTGAGATGGGCCTGGAGTGTGATGCTGATGATGATGGGGAGGATGGATGTGGTGATAATGACCATCCTGTGGATACAGAAGTTCTGAGCCAGGGGTTCCAGGCCACTTGTTCTCAGCAGGGTCTTCAGTCAGGCTGAGAGGCAGGAGAGGGAGCTGGCAACACTGCTTCCTGCTCTGTCTGTCCTGACCTTGGAAGTCTTGAAACACAAGGCTGCTATCTGGTTACCCCGGAAACCAGACATTCATTTGTGATTCATTGTAATTGATCTATGATGTCTCAACACATTTTTTTCTTGTTTTTTCATTGAATTTGAAACATGATCGGGCCACACAATAGATTCATTTCACAGAGTGGTTGTGAGTGGGTAGTAACCCTAAGCTTTGGAAAACACCTTGCTATGAAGCTGAGGGGGCAGTAGAAGCTCAGGTGAAAGATAAGACCTCATATGAGTAGCCCTCACTTTCTTACCACTACCTCCCAGGGACAAGAGCTCTTGGCAGTTTTCTTGTGTTCTTTTCTTGGAAAATTGGTCACCCATTTGTGGGATCCTTCTGCCTGGAGAAAGCAGTGCTCAACTGAATCACAAAGATTCTCACTAGATTACTGTGCAAAAAATTTGAAAAAAAAAATGCCTTATAGCCCTGTTAAAACAAACAAACAAACAAACAAACAAACAAAACAAAACAAAACAAAACCCCTTGATTCCCTGTCTCATATTGTGAAAGAAAAATTTCTAAAAAGAAGCTGTGTCTCACTGTGAACCAAAAACCTCTGGAGGAGTCTGTCTGCAGACACTATGGGAATATCAGTGCTCTGGAGAGATTGGACTTTACAGGTTTGCAGTCTAATTCCTTTAGTTTGGGCTAGCTTGAGCCTTGTGGAGCAGCCATTCCTTGTTCCTCCTTGTATCTAAACTAACATCTCATGATAATAAATACAAACCTTTTAGAAGCCTTTGACATTGAACATGATGAGATAATAAATGCCTACCAATATATTTTAAACTTGGCTTGATTTATTACCTTTATCGTTCTGTAAAGGTATTAAAAAAAAAAACCTTCTGAAAGATCTTTCATGTTGGAACATGGGTTTGGGGCTTGACATAAATCTGTGTTCCATGGGCCACATTAACTCACAATGGGTAGTTAGACAGAACAAGCTATCTCTTATTCCTTTTAAGATGAAAACTATGGTTATTACGGTGACAATACAATGTCCAAGGGCAAGCATTCCAGCAGTCTTTTATGACCCTATATCTCTAGGCCCAGAAAAAAATCCTGACTTCTCTAGCTAATATGAATGAACATGTTTCATGCTTAACAGAGGGTTTGTATTGTCTCCTGCCCACCTCATCTGGTGTATGTATTTTCAGTGTAATTACATTCATTTTCCAAGAGTGTATGCTTTAATTCTTTTATTGTTGACATCTTGGATGTGCATGAACATAAACAGAAACCTGTGGGGTTCTTCTTTGTGCCCCTCCCTCTCAGCAGTTGTCAAGTCAAGCCAACAGGCTTTCACCAGCAAGGCCATCCACGCCTCTTTTCCCATCCCTTGAAGTGACTCTCAGATCCCATGCACACTCACAGGCTCTATATCAATGCTGGGTCAACCACACACCGTGCAAAGGTACTCTCATAGCTTATAGCAGAGTTTCAAAGTTATTCCTGCACAGAGAATGTATAGATTAAAAACTGGGCAGCAGGAGAGGAACCATAGTGGGACATTTAGGAACAGAGGCAGGAATGTTCCTTTAAAGCTGAAAACAAGGCCCTTAACATGGAAGCATCTTTCATTTGTAGAGAGGAATATCCCGCTCCAGTTTCTACTTTCAGGAATGTAAAACAGCTGGGTGTGGTGGCATGTGCCTGTGGTCTGAGATCTCATGTAAAACAGCTGGGTGTGGTGGAGCCTGCCTGTGATCCCAGAGCTGGAGAAGCACAGATGTTTCCTGGCCAACAAACCTAGCCTACTTGGCAAGCTCCAGGCCAGCGAAAGCACTTGTTTAAAGCAAAGTAAAACAAAACAAACAAAAACCAAACCAAGCCAAACCAATCAATGGTGACTGGCACCTGGGAAATGTAATGTTATCCTCTGGCCACATATGTGCCTAAGCACATACACATATGCATCTGTACACCCAGATCCACACACACACAAATCACAATACATAGAATCTGTGTAGGAAAACAACTACAATACATGAAAATACTAAACATTAAAGGTCCTGAACCACATCAAGAAGGTGATGTTCGTGTTTCTGTTTTTTCTCTAAATGGCATAATTTCAGGTTTACCATTTTGCTTACAGTTTAAATTTAAAGAAAGTGTATAGTTTTGATGAACTACTTACACTTCTTTTAGTTTCAGATTTATTTTTATTCTTTCTCTTTTTCATATGTGTGTGTGTGTGTGTGTGTGTGTGTGTGTGTGAGATGTGTATGATGTGTGCAGGGAGAGTGGTAGAAGGTACAGATCTGGACCTGGAGTTACAAGTGGTTATGAGCTGCCACAAGTGGACACTGGGAATCGAACTCAGGTGTTTTAACTGCTGATCCATCTCTCCAGCCTATGTTGTAATGTTAATGATTGATGATAAAATAATAATCTACATCACTTGACAACTGGCAGTTTTTATCTTCGGTCATTCAGTAAGACACTTTGTCAGTTCCTGTGAGGAAAGTGTTTGACACAAGAAGTTTCAGGTTCCACTTAAAATGACTCATGCAGAACGTACCTCTACTCCAGCTGCAGCCAAGAGCCACCGGATAGGCTCCATTCTTCCCCTGCCATCGAAGTAGTGAAGGACTGGCTTCCCCGCCATGGCAGCAATTGCTTGGGTTTTCTAAACAGGAGTGAAGCACACCATGCTCTTAAAAGTCTGTCCTATAGGGATGTCTGGACGACAGCTGCTAACTGAAGAAGCATCTGCCTTCTTGATGGCAGAGCTGGAGACATTCCAGGTCTGTGTTCCTTGGTCCAGATCAGTACACATCAGGAGCCACCCTCAGATTGCACCAAACCAGTTTAGTGTCTCCACTGGTTAATATATAACTTAAAAGAAATAGGATCATAGTTCAGAGTGGAGGATGATAATGTGTGGGACGTCATAGGAAAACAAAGTACCAGCAAA